CAGCGGCTGCCAAATTACTTCTCGGTCAACGCTGTCAAAGGCCTTTCCAAAATCGATGAAGTTGAGTTAGAGTTGAGTTGACTGCCATTCTATACTCTATTCTATGATGATGCGTAGCGTAGCATTTCAATTTGATCCGCACATGATTTGTTTTTCCTGAATTCAGCCTGTTCCAGTCGTAATTCTGAATCCAACACATCTTTTAGTCTCTCCAGGATGATGGGGCATAACATTTCGCTTGGGGTGGACTTCAGCATGATTCCGCACCAGTTCTTGCAAAGACTTAGGTCACCTTTTTTTGGGAGTTTGACAGGCTAGCCCTTCTTACAACTAATGCGTAGGCACCTTTTCTTCCTTCCTTCCAAACCTTCTGTAATAGTGGTGGAAGTGTGTCTGCTGTTGTCTCTGCGTCTGTTTTCAGTGCTCCTGGAGGAATTCCACCTGGTCCTGCTGCTTTCCCGGATTTCAGCAACTTAATGGCCTTCAGAACTTCACCCCTGCTTTTGTCGGAGGGTTTGTGTTCACTGGTAATTCTGTGGCTGGGCTGCTGGTGGTATTTCTGGACGAGTTCCAGGTGCTGGTCGATTCAAGAGTTTTTCGAAGCGGTCAGCCCATCCTTGCTTTTGTTTCTCCTCTCTCTTTGGTAACAAGGTTTCCTTCACTATCTCTCATTGGTTTCATCTGCATTGATCTTATCCCTCCCAGATAGTAACCTGGTTATTTGACATAGTGTTGTCAGATCTCTGTCTCTCGTACCTGCAGCCTGTTCTGTTTCACTTGCCAATGTGTCGTAGAAGTGTCTTTTGTCTTCGTGAGCACTCTTCTTCACTTCTTTGTCCAGTGTAGTGTTTTATAGGTTGTGTTCTGTTCCTCTTTTCGTTGTTCATCCCTGCACTGCACTGCACCGACTCATCTGCTTCAACATCTTCCGCTCCCTACTCGATCAGCTTCCATGTGTTCGTCGAGATCCATTTCTTGTCTTGCCTCTTCTTCTTCCTTTCTAACACGGTTATGTAGACTTCCCTCCAAGTCTCTTTCAAACAGTTCCAGTGTTCTTCCATGCGGCTTTCCTCGAAAATGTTGCTTAATATCTCCTATTTGGTCCTGATGACTGGCTGACGTGAAGATGTCCTTTGTAGTCTCATCCTTCATTTTCTGTTTTAGGTGTTCAGCTTGAACTGTGGTCTATCGTCACCGACTTCTGTGAAGGCTTTCAACTTGATTTGGAAGGTTTCTTGCACTAGATAGTGAGTGGTGTGAACCTACATTTGCTCCCCTTCTTGGGCCTGTGTCCAGCAGGCAACGTCTCCACTTTCTTGAGACTGAAATGAAGTCGATGTGACTTTTAGTGTGTCTGGTGTCCAAAAAAAATCCATGTCGCTTTGTGAATATCCTTGTGTTTGTACACACTGCCTCCAATCACTAAACCATTAAATGCGCAGAAATCTCCAAACAGTTCTCCATTCTCGTTCATTTCACCGAGTGCTTCTAGACCCATGATGAGTTATCTTTCTGTGTTGTAAGCTCTCAGTCACCTCACGCATTAGAATTTCGATGTCGCCATCTGGGGTGGGTCTTGTCTATTACTGACTGCAGTTATCTGTAGAATTCCTCCTTCTTCTCTTGATCTGCATTATTTGTAGGTGCATAGCGTAGCAGTGTATGGTTTTGCCTTTCCTTCCTTTTGAGTTGAATCTCGCTGTCATGATCCTGAAGGAGATTGGTTCCCATTGCCTGAGAGCCTTCGATGCTCTTGGAGACATCATGATAATCACTCCAAAACTCAGTATACTTTTGATTTCACCGAGAGAAGATACATAGACCAATTGGCCTCCAGAAAGCTTTCACCAGCTGGCGTCATTTCGTCGATCTAATTTCAGCTAGAAATAAGTTTATCATTATTTTTTATATTTTTTTTGTGTTTTTAAGTTTTCTTAGAGATTGAATTGGCTTTACGGGGTGGGGTTGCTAGCCCTATGCCCAACCTCCCCCATTTATCCGGGCTTAGGACCGGCTAGTAGCTAGTGAACTAGTTAACTAGGCGTCGAAATATTCAAATCTCAGACCAATAATCTTGAAAACGCCACGTGACCAGCTTTAAGCAAGTATCCCATGGGCTCTGCGCTAACCTAAATTTATTCCTTCTCTTTCAGACATTTTGTCAAAGCAATTCCTACGGTGTGGGCACTTGTCTAGTACCAACTACACATTTGCTTCCAATACTATACAAAACTCAATCGGACATAACCTACCCTCCTCATTTTCGTCTACATCATCACCTTCACTTTTGACAATAGTGTTACGCCTCTCAAAACCTCCTCAACCTCTCATCCTGCAACCATCACTAAAAATCCCAGCCAGTGAAATACGATCTCCACTCTCCTAATACCACACTGTCAATTTCACTTAGCATCTTTGAGAAACCAAACCCTATGCTAAATTGAACCATAGGTATCTCCTACCAAACATCTGGAATCTCGAGTCATGGATGTATGCTGTCTCCAAAACGCTCATAAAGAACCCAAGTTGAGTTACTCACTCGACCTCATTTAACCAACTTGGTAAATCTACAACCTGGAGATTCAATGGTTAGCTCACGACAATTCTTAAGCAGAAAATGTACATATTGACTAGATACCATTTCACAGCCAACTATACACTGACCGGTTAGATAAACCTGAAGGAACCGGTAAAACCCGTGACACTGGTTGATGCCTATTCGTAATCTCCACCTATGTGTCCACCAACTGCATTTCGGATGATAACAAGTACGAGTTCTGCTGTAAGCTGTCAGTTTTGATACATCAAACAAAACGTTCAGGCATAATCATAGTGACGACCAACTCCTACACTCAAGTAGGAAAGACAAATTAATGGGAAAGACATTCTGGAGATATCTGCAGGATTCCATGACAACAAACTAAATCATCCTTTTGTTCGAACACTTACTTGTTTCTGGTCAGGACTAACTTCAAGCACAAAGAGATCCACTATCTCACTTGGCGTTGGCCGATATCAAACCAACGGTGAACACAGATAGATCATATCGATATGAACCATCGTTAGAGAGAATCGGTAGAAGCTTGACACTCTTCCATCTAGAGTACCTGTTTGGACTCTGGTTGATTACTCGTTAGTACAGTCACATGTATGTTTATGCCTTACTGGTGTTAGGATTTACGGTTGCGAAGCTTTTGTGTGCTCCATTGGAAGATGATAATGTCAACCGAGTATTTAGGGAGGAGATTGTTCAGTAATTGTCTGTACATGGTGGCAATTCTCTGTGCAGTCAAACCTGATTTAATATTTAGTCTGTTGTAGAAACAGTGATAAAGAGTGTTGGTAACTTGCACCTGAAGGTTAGAAAAAGTCAGTGTAAGTCTTTAATCGCATCTGAAATGATTGATGCGAAAAGACTCATTCCAGTTGGCTGTGACTACAATGAAGAGTGAAAGTAGTTCAAAGGTAAACTGATTAAGAGTCGTCCCAGTGATAACAAGTGGTGAAAGCGATGAAGGAGTCAGTATTAGGTGGTACTCGATAGTTACTTCAGGTTACTAAGGATACTGGCAAGATGATGGTTAGTGAGACCATCACCGAAAATGATGAGACGCTGATAACCTCTCATGACAGGCAGCTAGGTTGGCTGGAACACTGAGAAGCACAGTTTAACTGGCCTACAGCCATCCTTGATTATTCTAGTGTCCCCCCGAACCTAAAACGATCCAAAGCAGGACATGATGGTTTTGCCACAAAGAACTTTTGAGCATAGCGGTAAAAAAAATAATAAGTAAAGGGGGTACTAGCTGATGTATGGGTATCACTTATAGTTCAATCAGACTGATCTAGATCATCAACTATTCCAGATCATAAGGGACGGATGTCTTACAGTAACTGAAAGGCAGTCAGCTTGACAAACCACGCACGAGATCCTAAGGCCCACAGCCATACGATGACTAACAGAAGATTGGGCAAACTAACCACTTTTGAAACCTGGACGAGGGTGCATCGGTCACAGTTTTACTTATCTAAAGGTTCTGGAACAAAGGAATACTTACTGGTGGCTGACACTTGCCATATTTCTTGACCTGAAGGCGACATGTCTCTGTTCCCCATGACGTATTGCGTCAGTAAGAACGTCATTCGTGAGAAAAATGAAATCGGAGCAAGTAACACTGATGCTGATTGACAATTTCAAACATTCGACAATTTTTATAGCTGAATCTTGTCCTACCCACAACCTCAGTACAACATTTTCCAGCGTACATGGTGTTTCCAGGTTATTTTCCCTAGTCTTCATAAGGGGGAGGTTCAATCACAGCTGTTGAAATGTTTCTTATGCTGAGATAAAACCTCATCAACCACAAACATATAAAATACAGAAAGACTACCTGCCAAAGCCTCACTACCTGGCCATTTTTTTCGATTTCTCTATTTAAGCACAAAAACTTGTTTAAATTGCGGAAACGACAATCGGTGCAACAAGGCAACGAACCATGGGTTCGCGTATCAGGTTAATAGCCATGGCAACACTGATCACTAATTAACATCTTAGTAGATTGCCTGCTTTAAGTCCAACTTATTGGAGTTTAATGATTAAAAGGTCAATGGTTAGAATAAAAGTATCTAGATCAGAAGAGCAAATCAAAATATTCAACCTGTTCTACTTTATGAAGTTCATGAACTAATATGTAAATTACCTTAAGGGGTTTGGAATTGTAGCACATGAGAACAAAATTGCAGGAATTATATTACATTTGATATCTGGTACAGCCAGTTAAATAGACAGCTAAACCCAGAGGCATGACAATTAGAAACTCAGAAATATTAGGTTGCTGAGGTCAGTAGGTAAATGAAAGTTGTATTAAGCTGCTTAGTGATAAGTGCTATTCGGTCACCACATGAACACATAGAAACCAAGAACACTTCTAAGGGAATAAAAATCACATTAATGGGAAGATATCCGTGTTTTATAGCAATACGACGTCATATAAGCTTACCTTTAATAAGCAGTCAGCATTGACCAAGAGGTTCCCAGGCTTTAGATCTCGGTGAATAACACCCGCAGAATGTAGATATTTCAGACCTAATACTGTAATACTGATTAACGTCCACCAACCTCTTAGTATCTGGTAGACAAATAATTTGGTATGTTCTAATGACAAGTACTGGCTAGATGCAATTATTTTGTGTAGATCAGTGTCCATGTACTCGCAAAGGATAGAACTATAGCATGCGTAAGTAAAAAGTAGACTTACATTTCATTGAAGGCGGAGAAACTGGTGACTTTCACGACATCTATCAGGCGAACGATCTGGGGACAAGTTAGTGAAAGTGACCGCTTACATTCTCATGTCTCATAGAAAACAATACCTTCAGTTCCCTGTAAGCTCGCTTGGCAGACATGGTGCTCTCGAATACACTTGGGATTCTTTTAAGAGCAGCCTGTTCACCTGTGCGTGGATCAACAACCAGCCTGAAGATAAATAGATTGGAAGTTATCCATACCAAACAACGCCAAATGCCCCAAACCCTAATGACTTTTCAGGAGCACGTAGTCGTTGCCAGAGATGCGACTGATAACCAAACCCATTGTTCAAGGTTTGCAGTGTTCCACGGCAACCCGGAGAAATGACAGAGTTTGCGACTGCAAGAACAGGGCCTCTAAAGATAAGCGGAGTTCCGAGTGGTGGTATCAGGGTAGAGCACTTTAAGGGCTGTGCATTCGGTAGTTCTTCAAACCTTACCAATGCTTTCTCAAACTGATTTAATATATTAGGATACGCCGAAAATGATGCAGGGATGCGAGAACAATTTAGAAGTTGCCTCTGATATGTTTCTGTTGGGTTAGTAACACCAACAGGTCCAAGCATTACAAAACAGGTTAACGTCGAAGGCGATTACACGCATTATGATTACGAGGCTCCATAATACGAGAATTATAGGTAAGAAACGGAATCACTAATCTCCATCACCACGAGGGTGGAGCGACCTTGGACTGTTACGCATCCCAATTTGGGCCCATCATATACAATATCCAATATCATTTCACGACTTACTGTAAAGCAATTAGTTGTTCCACGCCCACCTTCTGGTCTTTGATGAACTTCAGTTTGTCAGGTGTAAGCACTCGCCAACTGTAGTTATAGGTAGCTTGACGGGTGGTTGTGTGTTGATTAAATTTATAGGGAATGTAGGATTTCTCCAAATACTGTAATGCAGATACATTCCTCAGGTGTCGTACCACCAGACCGTTGTTCGGAATGGTCGTAAAAAGGAGGCAGAAAGGAAGAAGAAATGTCCGGCAAAATCAAGTGAGTTGGAGTGCAAGAAACGAGATGAAAAGAAGCGGAACGGGAGGGAAGGAGACCAGCGTTCACTTCTAGTGATACCTGAATAAAAGTGCAGATTCCTTGCAATCAGCGGTTCTTTTGTTTCAAATCTAACCCTTGCACGATCTTCTTCTCTGCTGTGCAACACTTTTCATGCCTTAATAATTGTTTGCAGTAGCAGAAACATCATCGCCCAATAGAATACGCCCTATGGCGATTGACGAAATCCCTCCGATGACTTGTGTCTTAACTGTGCAAACAATAACTGGCCGTGCCTGATCTATATTCTCTGGGACATAGGAGGCTAGGGGAGAACCAGATAATGGTCTACAACATCTTGAACACCCTTGAATGCCCATTTCGTCACTAAACGCATCTTAGATGTAGCACCAACCTTAGAGAACACATACAGAAATTAACCCTGGAACATAGTAGCTGAGATATTAGACTCAGCTTCTATTCCCTAGGAGTTTATTATCCCGGGTTTGCTTCCTGTTTAAAAGTAACCCAGTCTACTTTACCTGAACCCTTTAGGTGCTGGTTTGATACATACTTAAGGTGTGGTCGGGGACTGCTCAGAACTAACTGAATTTCACGCTTTTGCTGCCACCTTTTGCTCTCTCCTTATTTCTATACTGGTTAAAAACCGCGGGAACTAGTGGTCCACGGATTCTAGACGTGGAAGCTTCCCTCATCCCATAAGTAATAATTCGAATATAGACTGTAACGAAGTTTTTAAAACACTGGATATTCTAGATATAAAAAACTAATGAGACCAAGTCAGCTACACCCGAATCTGCTCGGAGAGTGGCAGGCCAATTGGCTGCCATTTCCGGAATCTTCCTGTTAATGACCAATCTTGTAGCTTTTTCGACACATCAGTATGCTGATGCCTGTAAACTGGCTTCTCTCATGCCAAGTTATTAATTTGAGAATAAAAAATTTATTTATTCATCTGTATATTACTGGGGAAATGCTGTGTTTTCACCAACTCGTAGAAAGAGCATCTATCAAACCTACAGACCAAGGAGCCTAACGAACACTGTGGCTGTATCCTGGAAAGAATGGGGAGGGAATCGTTTACGCTACACCTAGAGAGTAACAATCAACCAATGACTTTACAGCACCGCTTTCGTAAGAGTTTCGCATGCTTCGTAAGCCCTCCCACGGTCATACAAAATCCAGTTTTTATATGCGACGGAAATCCTGTAGATTGCATTTTTATAGACCCCATCGGCCAGTCTACAGATATCTCACTTCAGGATGTCCTTGGAACTTGAAAGTCTTGCAGTCAATAGTGGTCTGCTTGCATGAATCGGAGACTTCCTCCGTGGAAGGAAACAAAGGGAGAGGGTCACCTACCGGCACCCCTTCTAAAAATTAGCACAGAGTGGAGTAAGGCGCCACAGTCTCAGGCCCCCTGCTATTTCCTATAACTACAAGGGAAATAGGAAAAGCGACATCCGGAATTCCACATGCTGAGGGTGTGAAAACTTGGTGACAGTTAAAGAATGGCAGTGATGTTCGAAAAGTTTACACGAAGACCAGCTGCTTGTCAACCAACTCAGACTAACATTTGACGCCTACCACGCTGTCTCGACATACCTGTTGCGTATCTTTCAAGTTGTGGTGAAAATCTTTACCAAAGGCTTATTTTTCCACGTCTATAGAAGTGTAATATGATAAACTGGAGTATATTAGTCTTAAACCTGCTACGTGATACAGCCCATTTGCAACCCAACTACGATTCTGCTTTGAAATGGCACCTTTTTCAAGATTGGCTTGGTCACAGCATGTAACTAAATACATGTGGTAGCACAGAATGTTCATGAAAGCATTGTTACAACTTTTGGACTCCCTGAATTTCCGTACATCCATTTCGGTCTTCGGAATGCAGCGAACATTTCAGCGTCTCATCACACACGCCCTCTGTGGTTTAGATTTTGTCCACTTTTGCGCCAGGGACTTCATCATTGCGAGTCCAGATGAGAAAACCCACCTTAACTACTTATATCTCACATTCGAAAGACTCAGAAAGCATACTATCACATTGACAATTCTGAAACTGCAAACAGGAATCAAATCGTTCAGTTCCCCCGGGGCACTGTATGAACGGTAAGGGTATCCGTTCATTAATAGTAAAGGGATGGTTATTCTGAACTACTTGGGACCGACCACTTTTGAGCGATTTTGAACTTCCATTGACTTGATAAGCTTTTGTCGAGAGTTCGTTACTGGGTGTCTCTCTCTAATGAAATCGCTAACAGATCTGTTTCATGGAAATGGAACCTTTTTGAGTCTGAGCGCCGTGGCTAAAGTTAATTTCTTAAAAGTTAAAGAAGCCGTCATAAATCCAGCCATGCTTGTGTGATATGACAACAAAGCACCCGTGAGTATTACTGCTGACACATGTGTCTCGGCGGTCGAGACCGTCCCACAACAACCGATAGGAGACCATAGGAAGTCACTGGCCTCCTATTCAAGGTGGTTGCAAGAAGCAGAAAAGGTTACAGTACACCCAGCAAGCAACTTTTTCTACACACTGCTCCGTACGCATTTCATGACATTCCGTCGAGGATCATGATCTTATGGCCTCCACAGACCACAAACCACTTTTCTTCCCGGTTTGCTCAGCATCTAATGAGTGCTTCCCGCTTTAGTCAAGACAACTGAACTGCGTTTCCCATGTCACCTCGATCATCCATCGCATATTAAGAACGAAGAATCCCGTAGTCAGCGCGTCATCTCGAACATCTACGATAAACGGTATGGCAAGTATTAACCTTGGTGAGTCGACTAATATTCAGAAAGAAGATTCTTAGCTGAAACACAGGTCTTTTACAACTTTAAAACTATGGCCAAGTCGAGTGGATAGTGGTATGAGCACCACTTTTTGCGATGTATCAGTCAGTCAGCTACACCCGACAATGCCTGAAGGGCGTCGACCCAAGGTTTTAAATATGTTACACAAGCCACATCAACCTAGCATGCTGGCCACCACTACACTTGACGCACAACATTCACGCCAGCCTGGGATGAAAAGGGACGTTAATGGATGCTCTGGATCATGCGCAGTCTGTCAAGAATCAAAATTTACCTTGCTCGTGTAAGGATCCATCATGTCTTTTCCAGCATCACACGATCGCTTCTAACACATTCATATTGGCATCTTAAGTTGTCCGGCAAATTATGACTGAGACACCCATCCCACCTGCGTGGACCACTTCACGAAATGGTCGGAAGTGGCACCTACCAGAGAAATTGCTTTTGAGATCATTGCTGGTGTTTTCCTAGTAAGTTGGATCCTTAACTTTGTATGCACACCTTTCATAACAGCCAAGCGCTAATTCGAGAGTGGATTATTCCACGCTTCGACTTCACCCTTTGGTTGCATTTAGTTCCGAGCGACAGCCTGGTCACCCACAAGCAGATGCCGGAGTAGAAGGTTCTCACTGCCAGCTTCGAGCAGAATTTGTAGCACAAACACGTCCCAGTGAACAGGGGCACTGCCTGTAGTCCCACTGGGTACTCGGAACACGAGACTCGTCCATGGAACTACTCTTCGACTGCCAGGTAAATTAGCCGCAGTTCCAACTTTTACATCCTCCTTCACCAACCCTACGAGTACGATGCGTACAGTTAGGTCTACCCCTGTTCGATATAAATCAATTGACGTCTTCACCCACTCCGTGTTACAAAAGCATCAACCGATTTGTTGGCTAAGATGCCAGTCGTTGATTTCCCGAAGCACTTTACGACAGTCGATTTGGAGTCACGAAGCCACACGAGTGTTTCATGCCCTTGGTGGGAGTGGATGCAAAGATGCCATCACCATAATAATAGCATATTTCTCATGAAACAATAATTACATAGGTCACACACCGGTCCTACAAGTACCCTTATTTTTGTCTACGGTGGTTTTTCACAAAGTAATAACAGAATTTTTACCAGCGTGAAGACATTTCAAAGGTTTCACCACCAACTTCAATCTTTCGCCCATCAGTGGATGCACTATTCGATAGTTTTGTCAGTTTTGCACTGCCCTAGGCATCGGGACACCACAACTTTCTGCATACATTCGAGGAGAGGTAGATGGCTGGATTCTGGATGAGTGAGGGTAATTTGGACGGCAACAGAAGACATATTGTGCCAATTCACCAGTCTGTAAGAAATACATGGGTTAAGTAAGATGAAACAGAAAGATCAAGATCAAGACGTGCGGAGAGATCTTGACCTTATCCCACAATACTTATATATATATATATATATATATACTGTTTCCAAGCCATGATTATGTGCTGCAATACCAAATCTGAGTGGGTAGGTAAGCGTTAGGTCGTGATGAAAGTGGTTTAAGCAAAAGGAGGTAACTCAAAATTCAAGAGCGTTTTTAAAGATTAGTCGGTAGTTTTTCCAGGAAAGATAGAGACTTGGAGGTTGGAATGCGCTAGTCGTGGGATGAACTGGGCAGTATATGGGATGCAAAAGTGGGACAATGATACAAAAGTTTCAACCGGATAACCACCAGAGTTGGTCAGTCTGTATTTAGATATCGTATGAAGATGATTCCGCAAAGAGGGTGTCATGGAGGCTTACAAGCAACTTTATTAGTGCTACATTTGTTATCTGTTTCAGTGTCGCAAATGAGCGTCGTCATTCTATGAGTGT